AAGGGTCATTTCATAAAGTTACTTGTCAGGAAATTAAAATATAAGCATACAATTTATAAAAAAGGCCGTTGGTTTTCAAACAGAACTTTTAATAAGTACAACCATGGCCGCAAGCAATTGGTGTTTGCCATTTGAAGTAGTTAGTTTCCGTGGTGTATACATCTTATTTGTCACCCTAATCTCATGTTGTCTATGCACTAATATAAGTTCAGTTCATAATATAACATGGCAACCCGAGCACAAGCAAGTGCCGAAGATCATTCCTATCATATAGGTATAACAACAAAAATTCGCCACTGTCCAACGACCTCTATAATATAACAACAGTCAAGCACCATGTTGCACCACTAATACAATATAACAATAGAAATTCAGCCCGTGCACCACAATCCGCAAGTAATTCATTCAAAGTACTTTGGAAATTAAAGTAGCAATTAATCAACTAATCTTTTTTGAAACTGCCAACTAATCATTTTTTAAACTGCCAACTAATCTTCATCTGGCCCCTTCTCATTGGGAACCTGCAGTTTGTTAATCCAGTACTCCTGAAGATCGCGTGACATAGTCAGAAAAGTTTTACGCCATTTGTCATCCTGGAGTTGTAAAAGAGCCGTGACTCTCCTTCCTTTGGACAGGCCTTCGAACGGCTCGATAACCTGAGTTGCCATTGTGACATCATATTTCTCAAAGTCATTGGCGCGGCGATCCTTAATTTGCAGTTTCGCTGAGGCTAGGTTGTTGAGGGAGTTGGCACACTCAACGAATGGATTATCAAAACTTTTGCTCGACTTGCTCTGGCGAGATCCGAAGCCCGAGTTTGTAGCCCCTACGCTGGCCAATCCTCTCTTTCTTCCAACGTTAGGAGCTGTATCGTAGCATGTGATATCTGGGTCACCGGTGAGCAATTCATCGCCAAAATGCGAACTTGATTGCCCTCCCAAATGAGTAGCCGGCATTTGTCGAGGCACACGCGAAGATGGAGGTGCAAAGGAGGAAGTTACTTGGCTTCCAGTTGCAGTTTCTCCTTCAAAGACCTCGGATAGTATCGTATATTTGTCGACGCATTGGAAGTATCTGAACTGGTTATAGTCTTTATTCTCCTGTCCAATAAAAAAAATTATCCTTTAAGTCTCAAATAGAAATCATTTAATAAAGCCAAGACACACCTATTTGTTAGCACACGAGTACTTATTCATCATATTCTACCATGGTAGCCAAGAACTAATCGAGTCTTAAAATTATTACATTGCCGGTAAGGTAACAAGTCACAACTCAGCCCGGCAGTTACGAATTAAGCATCAAAGGAAAAAATTGTAAACATGAAATTCTGTTGCCAAAATTTTAACTTAATTTGGATGGTAGATTACCATTTGCAGATTCCTCCACTGAGATTCATCGGCCATAAAGCATCTCCTATTCTCGTCCCACCCAATTCCAGTTTCGGTCGAGAGTCGCAGACCTTTTAATTTGGCAAATGCACGCCAAATCCTCCTCAAACGCGTGTACTTCGAATGTTAGACAGTCCACATATACTGCTTTCCCCAATTGGAATTAAGATGGGCAGCCAGTTTCATCTAGTTTTCCTCGGTGGAGATGTTTGGATTCCACTCCCCACTTTTTTTCCACTCAACGTATGTCATACAGAAGTGCATCTCCATGTTTTCATCCCAATGAGCTTTTGCGGTGGTATGGTCACGAGGCATCTAGAGATTAAAGACCAAAGGAAGTGTATATCAGTTTGTAGTACTGGCAAACGAATATTAAACTGTCAAACAATTACAGATTTTAGATAAATATATCTTTGTGACTCAAAACTTAGCTACTAATTTCCAATTCCAATGCAGCAGTGGCAACCTTATGGCTGACTCAATATGTGGAAGAACTCCAATAAGTATTGTCCTCATTTCTAGAAATACTTATTTGTTTGAACCCAAGTTGTACCTCAAACAATCAAGTGATTTGCAGGTGCTAGCATAAAAATTGAATGGAGTAAACAGGCACACAATCAATAATTGATTAGCCAAGTTCAACAAGTACACCAAAGAATGTTAATTAATTGGATGTGTGAAGGTGGCTAAACAGGGCAGCAGCATGAAAATCCATATCGCAAGTCTTGTTTTTGGACAATGTATTATATTTTAGGATGGCCTTACCTTGAAGTAGTTAACTAAGGACTCGATGTAGTCGTTTGAGGCTGTGAATGAGTGGACGGAAGAAGCCTCGGATGCACGGGCGGGGGTTGCTGGACCGGACAATGATAGCCTGCGCTTGTTGGACATTTACTCCATGTAAGGGTGTGTTAATAGGATGCAGCTCATGAGCAACATCCACTTGAATGAAGTAGTTTAAAAAACGCTTTGGTTCCAAGTTATCTTCTATTCTCAATCATCGTTACTGGATGGGGGAGGGAGATGGACGACCGTCTGGGGAACTTGCCTATGGTCTTTATTTGTAAAAATAGCCAGCATTCACTTCGTTTTCATTTTTTACCCAGTTCTTCAAAAAGCAACACTAAAATAGCATTACAACATAGACTTATAATAAGTTAATGGACTTAGACGTGTATATCAGTTAATGGACTTAGACTTGTACATCTTTTTCAAACAAGAGCAGGCATGTGTTTATACTTCACCGGAGAGGGAAATAACAGGTTTGAATCCTATTTCAGCATACTTAGATATTTATAAACTTCAACATGCAAACAAGTTATGCCTACTTCATCATATTTCTAAACCTCAGAAATTCGGTTATCTTTTTGAAATAGCAGCTATACTTCAGCAACATACAAATTCCGTTTATGGCCTTTCGATGCAAAACAGACCTAAAAAAATAGAAGATCTCCGACAGTCAAGATTACTCTACCAATCAGTCCAATTAAGTTTCAGCAGGCATTATTAACTTTCAGGCCAGTCCTAATCATGCCTTAACACGATTTAAAATAAACATCGAATTTCATCCTAACTCACAAATATCGTGTCTATAGGTGCTTGTATGCGGCAATTACGCCCAACTCTGAAGTATATTACGCCGGCAGCAACATTGCAATTTTAGAATACGTAAAATTTATGATTCAATCGTTCCTATTCGAATTAGGGCTGACTCATAAATTGGGGAAATGTGTGAAAAAACTTATATATAAAAAAAAAACCGCACCTGAACTGGTTCTCAAATTCGTTGCAAATTGTTTCAGATGACAACTTTCAATTTCCTTCTCACAAGCTCCAATTAGAAAGCTCAAGCTCTTTACCCTTGATAACCCGAAAAGTAAAGCTGGTATTCAGCTGCGAACTTGCAAGTTAATTACCCCAGATCTGGATCTTTATTTGTGCCTCGACTGGTGCCAAGCGCGGCACTGTAATTGACGTCAACAGGGGAAAGAAAGCACGAATAGCGGATGTCGTTTTGGATGAAACCTTTTTCTTGAAAAAAGGGGTATAGAAATTGCAAAGAAGTGGCTTGAGTTTATCTCTGAAGCAAAAACGGAAGCTCCTACAATCCTCAATGCTCTCTGGACTGTTCTCTTTTTCCACTACCCCTTTCTTACAACGGATACATTTTAGCAAAATGTACGAAGGTAGTAAAGGTGTTGGGTGAGAATTGAATAAAACATGGTGGGCCCTTGCACCACGTGAACCCTGACTCCAAGACCCCTTTTGTCTGTTAGTTTGGTGGTATAACTTAGCATCTCCTTGTGGAAAACATTTGCAAAAAATTACGTGTCCAAACAAAGATTTCAAATTAAAATTTGCACACTAAATTAAGCAAAACAAATTATGCAGTCCAAACGTGTCCATTATTTCTCAGCTTGTTTAGGGTTTAATTTTGTTCATAGGAAATGAAACACTCTTAACGTCTTTTATGACCACCAATGCGTAGGCTTAAAGATCTTGTATGGGCTGCCAGATCGGCAAATCAACCTCGAAAGTGCGAGGAGTACATGCAACAAATATTCATATTAAATGCAGAGGTATATGCATGGTTGATGGGAGGTTTGGTCAAACCCGTATAGTGGGCCTTATGCAAAGATGGGAACTATCGGTGGCAGCACACATCTACAAATATGGCCGAATGTTTTAACAACTTAATGAGGGATGCTTGGATGTTGCCGTTCACAATATGTATTTGATTTACACTTAATCAGACAGTTGATTTGTTCATCAAGAACCTAAAGATCTCAAAGGATAAGGTGTATTTACTCCCACAAAAGACTTGGAAAAAATATTTGACAAATGAAGAAAATGAGCGAGTACACTTCGTTAGAGTGTATGATCCCGTTAGGGGAGTGTTTTGTATTACTACTGCTTATCAACAAAGTCATCGGGGTAGCAACATGCAAACTGTTGACCTTACAAATCAAATGTGTCCATGTGAAAAATAGAGGGAATTACGATTTTCGTTTTCACATATGTTTGCAGCTTGCTTTAGGTTCAGAATAAATCCGATGACTCTTGTGGCACCGGAATATACATTTTCTGCATACCAGACTACATTTTCTAGCTGTTTTTATCCGCTTAGGCACACAAAATATTGGTCGATAATAGATTTGCGATTGCATATCCTAGGTGATCGTTTAAAACAAAAGACTCCGGGGTCTTTAAAGACGGCTAGAATCTGGAATGAGATGGATAAAAAATGTCCGGATACTCTACGTCGGTATAGTAACTATTTGCAACCCGAACACGTTGCACCTAACTACCTATATTCTGGTTACTTTCATCAATAGAATGTTAAGATTAATGTAGCGTAAAATAAATTGTCCATATTTGTGTACGAATTGAATATATTAGTGAAATGCATTCTTCTATTGGTATATAATTTTAATATGTTAATATAGTGTGATATGCATATTTTTGTTGAGGTGTTATGAATATTATTTTTCTGTTATGTTGTATATGAGATTTTTCTCATTTTGCTTTTTAGTGGCATTTATTTTGGCATATATTTTTTATAATGCATACCCAATTCGACTAATAATAATTTCGTTGCAGGCATAACTGTCTATGGATCATTGGAATGCTGTAGAACCCCCAACTCAAGGGCCGATTAATTCTTCTGTATTATATTTACAGCCACACCACAGATCCGCTATCGTTTTTGATGGTGAATCTTGTGACCTAGATGTCAGAAGATGTGACAAAGAATCTTTTAAACCCTTTATGCATATAGACCCTCGAGTATCTGATTACACCGACATGATTGGATTTGGTGGGGTACGTAGAGTCGGTTACGTTCATGTGGATCATGGATTGATCACTGCACTTGTCGAGTATTGGAAACAAGAGACACATATATTTCATCTTTCTATTATGGGCGAGGCTACTATCACCTTGCAGGATGTGGATGTGTTGTGGGGCCTGCATATTGATGGCCTTTCTGTTACCGTGAATCATATTAGACGGAATCCCTTACAACACCAACAAATGATTTATGATGTTTTAAGTGTTTGGCTAGAGAATAGGCACTTTCGAGATGGGCGATTAAAGATGTCATTCATAAAGGCACGATTATGGATAGCATTGGAGCCCAGTACCTCTGATGTGGTGGTTCGTCAATATGCTCGGATGTACATACTGATTCTATTAGGAGGCCTACTATTTGCAGATACCACAAGCAATGTTGTTAGTACAAATTGGTTCGATTATGTACAAGACTTGGAGGCGATGAATGAATACAGTTGGAAAAGCGTGGTGTTGGCCTATTTATACTCGCGGATGTATATTGCTTCTCGAGCAGAAACTAAGAGTACTGGTGGGCCTTATTTATTACTACAAGTAAATAAAAATATATCTCATAAACTATTTTTGATTAAACACACATCTTATTCAATGAAAATTACCTTGGTATTGAACAGTTTTGGGCGTGGGAGCGAATCTCACTTATTCGTCCTGATATACATCCTCGATATGAGATTGGAGATTACCCAAGAGGAGGGAGATGGGCAGATGATCGTTTAGATTATGAGCCTCCTGGTAGGCTTGCGGTGTATTATTGAGAGCAGATGGGGCTGCTAAGAATAGATCAGGTATGTTATTATTTTGTGGATAATTATTATTTGTATTTCACTGAATTTCTGTTCAAGACAATGAGGATTGAGTATCTATTTTTCCTGTTCTATCAGTTCATTTAGATGCCATATAGTGGTAACATACTGTCATCTCTACTCGCATATTGCAAACGAGGAGAGCATATATGGCGAGCAAAGGTCCATTTGATATGATACGAACGGCACCAATCTTGTGATGCAACCCGTACAGAAAGGCTTGGATCTAGAAGGTAGAGATTCACGTTGAAGACGACGAACGCAGCGGATCACCTAAACCTGTTGATCACGTGGTCAACAAATCTCGGTATTTGTAGAAGATGCCACAATCTAGCGCGGTCCTAGATTGATAAGTCAATTGAATACCTAAGATATAAATCTAAGATATTCAAGCTGCTTCAATGAAACTTTGAGAAAACTCTCAATGTAATTTTATTAATCATCAAAAACTGAATGTAAAACAATGACCTAAGGCTATTTGTAGCCTTGACTAAGGCCTAACAACATATGGCCCGTAAGCTCCGGGGGCGTTGCCCCCGAGCCCCCATCAGGGGCGTTGCCCCCTGGACCCCCGACTCACTGACCGGTCAGCGAAACCCACGTACCGGCTCAACGTAGGGACTAACTACGTGGCCCACTAAAGTGTTATTGGTCCTAAGGCCCACATGGCCTAGCCCCTTGACCCAATAACTAATAACGACTAAGGTCCAAACCACAAGCTAGTTGGACCTCTTTATTACATTCTACTAAACTAATAATGGGTCGTGGCCCAGGCGAATCATGGGCAGCTAATCCTCATGGATGGCCGATAGTAGGACAACATCTCTAGTTTCGTTGAGACCCTCAATGGCCCTTGGCTCTCCACTTGACTCACGGGCTGCACGAACCAATGTTTGTGGTGTCTCATTCAACCTCTTCGCGTGAGCTCGTGTCATAGGCCCCAACGGCACCTTCACTTGCTCCACTTGGATAGCTCCCTCGACCTCCTCATCATGATATTTTGGCACATAGTTGAGTTTCATTGTCCAGATCGAGTGATACGTCAGTTTGGCATAGTACAAAAAATTTCTAAAGAAATTGATACTGATCAGAAGGGTTTGCACCAACTTGGTCTAGCTAGATTTTCAAGAAGAAATTGGGCTCAATTTCATAGGAATTGGATAGGTGATTAGGATCGACACTACGAAGCTGAGGTCCAGGAACAGCCTACAAATACATCCAAACCTTCAGAAAAATATCTCAGATAGTACCACCGCCACACCATCTTGTACATTACGTCTCCTATCCATTAGCAGACGCAGTCCAGGCACATGCTCTACGGGGTATTACGACAACTTGAATATATGGTAATTAGTACCCCTATAATTTTCACTCCGTCAATATGTGTGCTTTTTGCTAGCATTTCCTAGTCAATCTTGTAGAGGCATATTAATTTGTCTATTTTTTTTATATCAGATGGATACCATGCAACGCATTGGACATCAGTCGCATGATGTCCTCAATCTTGATGATCCAGGACATGTTTTTCACCCATGTCTTTTGACGATCGTGGATGGTGCATTTGGGTCTATGCAACACCTTCAACAATACGATCGTATGAAAGTTGGTGATGGGGACCCATTTGAGACCCAAATATAGTCTCAGCATGTTCCCTATGAGAGGCCAGTTGGACATGTCTCTCGTCAAGTTTGAGCATCTACCAGCGAAGTTAAACGACACAGGCATGGCTTGCATGATGAGGACGACAACGAAGCAGAGCATCATGAACCTGAAGTGGACCCTCAAAATTGCACCAGGTTGACCGGTACACATTTTTCTACATCACTACATACACCGATTCGATTTTGCCACAGTTTACACAATTGCCATACTTTCCTATTTATGGTACACAATTCACTCCTTCCTCACACGTACCTGCGTTTGATTCACTATTCACGCTTTCGCCGCATATACCTGTATTTGGGTACGATGCCACTACATCAGGGGATTCTTATGTGCAGACCTTAACCAAATATATGATTTGATTTGTGCCATGGGAGGTGGTTCTGTTACTGTAGATCTTCCAGATTATTGCACTCTTGGTTAGACTATATTCATGCCTACTCAAACCCAACCAAAAGGCATGCCAGGACATGCTGTTCCAGAAAATTTTCACGACTATCGTTCCAAAGACATGGATGATAGTGATGGAACAACTGAGTCAACAGACGAGATACCCTTGTCTTTGAAAACGCAGATGATGATTATGGCCTATCTACTGTTGTTCCATAAGTTCTTGCACTAGTTATCGGAGAACGAGTGTTACATAATCGTCAGAGAAGGCCTACTACTAGATATTATTGTCCTCCGATGACACCTCAGGAGAAGGGTAAAGGCAAGAAAACTGTGAGGCATTGATATTATTTTGTCTTCGATAATGTTTTATATCTCATCCATTTAATGCATTTCACATGACATTTAATTTAATTTAGTTGTCTACTTTTTTCTGTTTAATCCAATCACTTTCAATTTGAAAAGCGTTAAACATTTTCAAAATAGAGAAGTACAAGTTATTTTATTAAACCCTATAATTGAATAGAAGGGTCCCTATAGGATAATACCTACAAAACAAATAAGTACTAGTTGTTTTACAGCTATTTTAATTGATTAAATTATTTAAACTAATTATCGTATACCAAATAATGACACACAAACAATAGATTGCATTTTATATGAAAATTAAATATATAAATCGCAATTCGTGTTATAATTTTTCATTTTTTGACACAATTACGGTTCCTTTAACATTCTATGCGCATTATAGATAATAAAATTAAAATTAACAAATCATAATAATATTAAACAATACTTCCATTCATTACACAATCACTTCAACTTAAATCATATTATTAAACCATTTTCTAAATTTAACAAATCATTACAATTAAGCATGTTATATAACTTAAGCTTGCTAAAATAGTAAACCTTAATTCTTTAAGAAACCCCTAAATCCTTTAGCGAATGGATCAAATTTTTAAAATCTAGCATCATTTAAAATGCTAAAATGCTAGCGAGACCAGTGTTTGTTTTTAAAATTTTGTCGAACTGTCTGCATTGTTTTTTAAAATTTTGATTTAAAATAATTTTTATAGAAAAATTTTTGCTGAATTGTACAAAGATTTAAAAAAAAAAACATTTCTAAATCGTCTGGCCATGGCGTGACAGCCGAAGGATTTTTTTTAAAAAAAATTCTAAATTCTCTGGCCATCGGTCCTACATGGCGCGATGGCCGGAAAGATTTTTGAAAAGAAAAAATTTCTGACTTCTCTGACCGTCGCTCCTACATGGCGCGATGGCCAGGAGGATTTTTTTTTAAAAAAAAAGACATTTCTGACCGTTACGCCATATAGGAGCGATGACTAGAAAATTTCTGACCTCTTTGACCGTCGCTCCTACATGGCGCAACGGCCAGGAGGATTTTTTTTTTTTTTAAAACATTTTTGACCTCTCTGGCCATCGTGCTATATAGGAGCGGCGGCCAGGAAGCCTTTTTTTAAAAAAAATTGCCCGTCGTGCCACAAAGCAGTCAACCCGCCATATTTGACCGACTTTTTTATCATCTAACAATATTGTAATCAATTATCCCACCCACGAAACCTTAATGCACTGGTGATGGCCACCAGCCCAAAAGCTGGTTGACCTTGAGTAACTACTTAACTATTTTTTCCTCCCTCCCTTTGCATTTTGGAAGAAAAGATTGACTAAGACATGTCTTGAATCACGTGCTCTATCAGAATTTCAGAACAAGTGATCGATCAATCACTATTTGTCGTCTTTCCTCTGTAAATAACCTCAGCAACCTTCATTTAAGAAGTATCTCACTCAAACTCTCAAATTCTTGATCTGTTTATACCCAAATTAACTTGATTGTTAAGAGTTACATCGGGAGACTTAGCCAGCAATTCTCTCCCTCTCTTTAAGTTTTAGATACATTTACATTTGGAGGAAAATAGCGAGGCAAATTTTAACTGACTATCCTTATAAATTGAGTTGCCGCTCTTAAACTTGTTTCTTGTGAGCCTACTGGACATTTCGACTAATTTGCAATACCCAAATTTAGTAAATAACCTCAACTGAAGAAAACACACAGCATAAAATTGAGGCACATTTGGCACAAAGGCAGTTATCATGTGAGCCTAATCTGCGCCTATTCCATCAAAGAATAAATCATAGTTCATTACATAAACTGCTGCGGTCACAACTTGAACGTTGCATGGTTGAAAGTTGATATAATTGACAAGTAATTCAAACATCATAAAACTTGAAACATTAAGACTTGATAGTTCCATTGGACAGTGTGCTTTCAGCTGAACCTGGATCCACGCATATGCTTCATTTAAATTTAAAGCTTTGTATTCAACAACCTGATGAATGTGAAATTTTCTACTAAGTCATTCTTTCTGCTATGCATGCACTTCTTAGGAAGGTAACTATAATATCTGCAGAATTGCCACTTCATGTAAATTGGACTGTCATTTTAGTTTTCTTCACTAATTAATATCTATAGTGGTACCTCTATAAATTAATAACCTTAGGACCATATAAATTCAATTAATTTAAAGAGGTATTAATTAATCGATAAATTAGTACTCACATTCAAAGAAACACTCATTTGACCAACTAAAGTTTTGTTTTATTTTATAAAAACATGAATTATTATATTAATAAAAGGAGGCTAAAAGTCTAAGAAATATAAACCACTATATATCTACTTGATTACAAGTACAATTTAATTAAAGTCCAAAACTTTTACGCGCAATAAGAAAAGTTAGGAATGAGATTCAAATAGATTTAAATTTCAAGAAACAATAAAAAAAAAATAGAATTATATTTTAGAAAAATATGATGTGCAATTTTAGTGAATTATTAATATATGATACAAATAAAACCAAAGGATTATATAAGGTTTTCAA